TTCAACTGGGAAGGCAGGAGAATGTGGTATTGGCCCGAGGAATGTGTGGCAAACTCCCAGACGAGAAGTCCTTCGTGGACGTGCCCGTTTCCGACGAGTACCGTCCGGGCTATGTCGTGCCTGAGGGACTTTCTCTCAAAAAGAAGTTATCCGACGTGGTCAATGCTACCGGTAGGCCTTCTGGCAATTCATATTAGTTTACACATAATGTTCATGCTACTGAATATAAACAGTAGGTATAATTCTGCTGTAGAAACTCGGTTGCAGGACCTGTCCTTCCTCTTCACGGTTCGACTGAAACCGGGAGCTGTCGGAGACCTCTTCACAATTTTCAGCTCTCAGGGGCATCAGTTGTTGTCGATCGGTTTCGATCGATCCATAACGATTGCCTACCAAGAGGGCGGTTCACCCATCCGAGCTGCGAGGCGATCGACAACCGGCAGGGATATCCGCATTGTGAAGCTCGGCCAGCCGATCGATGACGATGAGTAAGTAACAGTCAGGCGCCAAGGCTCATTAGTTTACTTTTCTAACTTATGGACGGAGGATTAAGAGGAACGTAGATGCTTTTTTGAACATGTAAATGGAAATTAGTTTCTCAACGTAGTGATCTAACTTGTGCGCAGATGGCATCGAGTCGGAGTGGGCTTCAACGGCAACCGTGTGGTGCTGATGGTGGATTGCAAAAAGGCCGCCAGTGAGGACCTCGAATTGCCTATGAACACTGTTGAGGGAAGAGGCACAATCAGCCTCCTTTCTCAAGGACTTGACGTAAGTTGATCCTTTTTTGTCGAAGTTTTCCTCGATCTTCGTAATTAGAAGGAAAATCGGAGAGTACATCCATTCTTCTGATCTATTATCTCATGCCGTAAACAACACTCAAAATCACACGTAAACTAGACAGTCTCAAAGAGTTACATTTAGCGAATAAGGTGACTTCCACTCTCCCCTCCCCCCCATCCAAAGGGTCTTGCTTATTTAAAGTTTTATTTTCCCCCACTAGGGCGTAATCCAAGATCTGATGATCATTCAAGGTGATCGCGTCATGGAGCAACAGTGTACTGTCTACACACCGGACTGCCCCTCAATGGACGATCGTATGATGGGTGATGAGGTAAGTGCAATTCACCCTATTCTTGAAAACTCTCCATTCAATATTATTTAAATGAAGGGTGAAAGTCAAAGCTGACAATTCAAGCTCAGCCATAAGCTTCCTCGACAGTACTGATCAATAGAGATGAAGAAGGCTTTAGAGTAACCAGCCATGAGGCACAGATCCTTCGAGTCAGCAAATAGGCTTTTTGTTACACGTGTTATTCTGGCTAACATGGGAGACATCGCTTTCAATTTTAGATGA